ATATAGAAAACACAAATACTGGACTCGGTTTAATATTTTTGGAAAAGCTTTCCAAATGGTTGAAAAGATTTTGGATAAACTTTTAAAACTATTTGTTTTCAAATTATTAAAATATCAAATATATATCAAAATATATATAAAAATATATCAGTCAGAAGGGTGCCAAGGTGACCAAATATAAGGCACAGTAGGTTGATTTCAAAAAAAGAGAACATATCATGGAAAATAATTAAATATAAGTACCCTAAACACCAAAACCACATTTGGTGACTGAATATTTTGTGAGGCCGAAGAATAAGTATTACAACATTGGGAAAATAATTAAGTAAAATATTATTTTTAATTATTATTTTAAAATTCCATCCAGTTATATTACACTGCAGCATACAAACTAGAAAACAATTCACATATCAACAGCAGTGTTCTGCAATCAATTAAAATAAATAATAGACATATAGATGTGTGTCCTACTCCTGACCTTTAATGGAAACATTATTAAAGTATATTATGTTTATATATTAACATGGAAACAGGAAGACCATCACATGAAATAAAATACAATTAGATAAATAAAGTACACATATTTTCACGGATCTTAATTAATTTATTGCATGTCTCTTCGTCAAACTAGACAGGCTTGTCATTGATCTTTAAGTTTAAATTTAATAAAATTAATACTATGGATACAGGGATCAAAATATATATATTTTTTAAACTATTAAAATGTTACTTTTAATAACACATTTTTAGTTTTTTTTTTTATCAATATACACACATTATATAAAACAGTGTATGCTATATAGTGCAATCTGTGGCCTGCATCCAATAAGGAACTAACTATAATAATTGCTACCACTTGCCCAACTGGGAATTTAGCTATTGCTTTTGTTGGGGGAATTTGTAAGTACTCATGTTAGGCTGTTGTATTACTACATTTAACAGTGCTGGTTAGAATGTTACTTCTCGCACATCTTATCTGGATAGAATTCACTTTTACCCAATCCAAGCTAGATGATAACAGCAGGAACACAATATATACTGAGCAGATGTGCCTGGAAGATTTGCGGAAAACATGGAGACAGCTGGGACACAGTTCATGCCTTTCTTTGTGACTTGCTCCACTAGTTCTTCTCTATATGACTTGTACAAATTAAACCATCACACCATCGTCACTATGCTGTCCAGGGGTTTAAAAGTTTTACTTTTCCAGCTTGACTTGATTCTTTTAAATAGATTGTGCTGAAGCTGGCCAAAATAGCATACTAAACAAAATAGTTGTCTTATCATTCAAAAGATCCATGCCACATTTGGGGTAACATCTGCCCCGGTGTGTTATCATTGATAATACAATTCAAGGATCACTATAGTCACCATATAAAAGCAAGAAAGACAGGTCCCTCAGCCTTCTTTCTTGCTTTTATATGAACTTGCAAAAAAAAATAATAATTCCGAGCACTTTTTCATAATAAAACTTACCTCTGTTCCAGCACCGAGCTTCCCGCTAGGCCACTCCCCCTTTTTCGTCAAAATGACAAAATCGCAAAATCGTTTTGCTCTGCACCAATCGCATTCTTCATAGAGCGGCATTGAATGCCGCCCTACGAAGAAACTCAGCGCTCAACTGTGCATATATGCAGAATGCACGTTCGCGTGCTGAGCTGTATGACTGACAGCTCAGCTCGCTTTCTATACCCGCCCCCTCCTCAGCCAAACTGTGTGTTTGCATAGAAACACTATATTTAGAGATCTCTATATATAGTGTTTCTATGCAAACACACAAGTAGTAAAAAATTAAAGACATACACACACTCTCTCTCAATCCATATCCATCCATCCTCATCATCCATATCCATCCATATCCATCCACTCACCCACACTCAGTCACCCACTTACCCTCAGTTACCCACTCACCCTCAGTTACCCACCCACCATCACCCACTCACCCACCCTCAGTCACACACCCACACTCAGTCACTCACCCACCCACTCACCCTCAGTCACCCACCCACACTCAGTCACTCACCCACCACTCACCCTCAGTCACCCACCCACACTTAGTCACCCACACTCACTAAATAAGTTTACTTACAGTTTGAATTCTCCCCTCCTGCTCGGTCTCCGGTCTTCATCCTGTCAGCTCCTTCAGCCTGTCAGCACTCCACGTGACAGCCTGCAGACAGGATGCTCATGCAGAGTGTTGCACAGAGCTGCCCTCTGTCTGCGGACAGCAGATCTGAGTGGATGGAGGCATTTTATGCCTCCATCAACTCGGAAGTCCCTCTGGTGGCAGTCTGAGTGACTACAACTGGAGGTGTTCCTAGCTTAGAATGTAAACACTGTATTTTCTCAGAAAATACAGTGTTTACATGAGAAAGGCTGCAGGGAGCTATAGTTCTCACCTGAACAACCTCATTAAGCTGTAGTTGTTCAGGTGACTATAGTGTCCCTAATTAGCCTCATCTCAAATACTGCTGCTAACTATATATGTTTACCTATGCAGTATTATTTATATTTATATATATATATATATATATATATATATATATATTACTCTACCCATTTAACTTTGTATTATCCCTGTGTTACATACAAATGACTATAATTTTTGTATATATTAAACCAATAAAATAGTAACATGATTGCTTTAAAATATCACATAAAGAGCAAAAATGTCTACTCTGTTATTTAAGTAAAAATACAATGTAATATAATATAGTATAGTCCATCACATTTTATCCATTTTGAAAAACATAGTCTTGCATTAAAACTGTGCCAAATATTTGGCAGCTCTCAGGCTGAAATTGCTTAACTCATTGACCACCTCCTGGACATGATTAAACTTGGTCAATTAGCAGTAGCAAATGCTTAAACATGCACTTTTAATCCATCGTATATGTAATGTAAATTTCCATTAGCTTAGTTATTGCCAGCTATTACTGAAAAGTAATTTCCTGATATTTTCATAAAGCAGATGCAATGTTTAAATATATATTTGTTCTACATTGTTCTTATATGGAATGCTATCATAGTTTTATTGCTTAAAATTCCTCTCTTATAATTGACCAAATGTCAGTAATGAGTCAGCAATTAGCATATAGAGAAGTTATTTATTTAACTTGTAAATTGTTACTTTTGAGATATAAACAAGTTAGGATCACCCTCATGTAAGGAAAGGTATCATTCCATAGGAAATCAACACAATGGCCAATCAGACACCCAGTAGGTTGCTCCCTCTCACTCACCTTGAGCACTCGCTAAACTAAATGTGAGGCCTTCTCCTTGATAAACACTAGATTCAATACTTCTCTATGAGAAGCATCCTGTTGGCGTAGTGAGGCAATTGCCAAACATGCATTAAAGGACCTCACGGTTTCTCGAGCTTTTGATTTGTTGGGAGATCACCACTAGTGATGTTCCCCAAGGATTGGAGTAGAGCATTCCACCACTAGATTAGTAGTAACAGTAAGCAACATTTGGACACTGTAGATAGGCCCTAAGTCTAAAGTAACTTTTCAACACTCCAGCCTTAAAAATAAATGTATTATAAATGCATTATTGGGTTCCTTTAAGGTTAATTTTCACTAGCAGCTATTGAAACAGCTAAGCGTTTAAGCTCTCCATCGTTTTCTTTATATATTACTACAGTGACATTAATTATAAGTATTATACTGTTTTAATTATGCATTGTCGTAATCATCAGTTGTCATTCATTAATCATATGAATGCTTCTTGTAAGGTGAAGGTAAAAGTGTAGCTATTGTGAAAAAAGAAATGTATCTGATGACATCTTGTTTGTTCCTCATGATTGCCGCTTACCAGCTATGATGGGAAGCAATAATCATGTTTAATTGCTTTAGGAGGCTTGCAAGATTGTTTCACTGCAGTACTAAATGTAACGATCTACATTCTTCCTGTCTGCTACTTTTTAAATATCAGCAAGGTGTGTTTTTACATTGTAAATCTGTGCAACGTCTTGAAAACAAGAGTATTTGAACATAACTGATTCCTGGCAGGTTCAATATGTAAGTAAGGACTCGACTGAAAATTGTTGGATAACCTTCCAAATTAATTATTTTTTTTCGAAAAACTTTTAAAAAGATCTAATTTTAAGAAAAACATTTTAATATACTTTGATATATATTTATTTTATTTTAATATTTAATCTATTTAAAAGTTTATCCAAACATATAAAATGATTTGAAAATCTTATCCAATAATATTAAATTAAGGCCCAAGTAACAGTCTCACCTGTCCACCTGATTACTTACAGTTTTGTTTCTTTCCTTTTTGAAGGAGTCATCTTTTGTAGTTCTAATCACCCTGAGATCTACATATTTCAAAGGGTGGATGTGATGATTCTATGGCAGATGTGCCAATCTGGCTCTAAATAGGCTTTTGTAGATATCCACAGATCAAGTTAAAAAAGTTATTTAAATTAGTAAACACAGATTTTTAGCACTGAATTATCAGGGATTAGATTTGCACACAGCAAAAAAAATAATAATAAAAAAAATAAGCCAAGGAAGCCAGACGTGCTCTGCAAGAGCTCCTGCATCTGGCCCTGAAAACTCGGGATCTATCCCCAGGTCACCCATTACTCAGACCGCTATAAGCACTCATCTCGTCATGGGGTTGTGGGTGTACCGGAGGATACCCGTTGTGAGCCTGCCTGGCACCAGAATTTCCCGATTGTGTCTTGCAGCCTACTCAAGCACGACCTTTGGAGAGGAGGTCGCTCTCCTAGCTCCTTAGCTGACGGAGTGGTCCCAGTGCACATAGCTGTCCTCTCCCCTCTGGACCGGTGGGTGTTATCCCGGTATCCAGTGGCTAACACTTCTGTCAACCCTAAACAGCTGCCACCCCACAACTCTTGATCATGGCTGACCACCCTAAGATGGCGGACACACTTCCGCTTTACCAGTCTGGACTGACACAGCCCATGGAGATGCAACAAAGCGCTGCCGACCACATACTGGAACGCTTGGATACAATCTTTGCAGGCTTTTGGGCAAAACTCTAGGCTCAAAATTATGGCAACACCTATTCAATATCCTGAGGGAGAGCACCCAGAAGAGCTACTCTACACGCTTGCTTAAGGCCCAGCAGTTCCCAGGAGGCATCCCGCTACACAACTCTACATGTATAAACACCCCTCCAGTACATCCAAGACAGAGAGAAGCCACAGCAGCGGGCAACGTTACTCCGCTATACCCTGCACCAATACTCACCTTGACTATGGAGATCCCTCATCCTCGGTGGAAACGACCTGATCAGGAGGTTGCCACCTCATGCTGCCAAGTCCACAGAAATGTTGGCCCATGGAAGTCACAGCCCTCTCTGTTACAATGCCGAACACAGAAAGAGCAGGGAGTGGAGGCAGAACCTGGTTCCAAGATGTCTCATCTCGTTTGGACTCTAAATGACAAAGGCTAAGTGACCTGGGCAGACTCCTCAACAATCCAGGGTAGCCTGTGTTTAAGCCAGTTAAATCTTGCTAGCCTGTTAAATTTTCTTAATTTCTACTAGGCATAAAAGACCTAGCATATTATTCACAATTAAAGGCATGTGTCTAGATTTTACCTACGTTATTACTCTTAAGTACGCTTATACCATGATATATGACTGATTTCTTAACGTTTTGTATGCATGTTTTACTTAGATTAATCTACTATTGAACTGTCTGCAGGTCTCCCTAATCTTGATCACCAATCTACTCTCTTAGGAGACATGTCAGAATTGTTAAGCTTGTTCATGAAACAAAAAAATGTGCGAATTTTCATGCCACCGTTTAGCCTGTATGTATACGCTGTTGTGGCGTTTGATGATGTCTGTACTCACCTGCAAAAAAAAAAAGGGCCAATATATACATAATATAAATATTCAAACAATGAAGTCAGATTTTAGTGCCATGTGATTCACGGATCAAGTGAGAAAAAGTATCTGACAGCCACTAAATGTTGATTTAATTCACCTGTAAAGTGGGAAAAACTAAGTAATAGGGGGGAAAAGAGAAGGAGCAGTATAAATAAGTATTTATATATTGTATATATTCTTAAATTATTGGTTAGCTTTCCTACTTGATATGTGAATAAAATTGACATTTAGTAGTTGTCCCTCAATCATCTTTTGCAATCAATTATGCAATCACAAATCACAACAAACTTGCTTGTCCATACACGATTTGTTTGGCTTTGGTTTCAGCTGCATATGAGCTTGAGTACGGACATTCATATGATCACCTGATCGGCTCAAATTCAGACGAATTACAGCTTGTATTGAAACGAATATGCAAGTTTATCTATTGTTTGGTAAACAATGCAAACCAATTACCAAATGGTTGCAAAAGCCATACCAAATCAAATAACAAAGGTGAATAAGAGTTTAGCTAAGCTAGAAATTTCTACATAAGATGCTCATGGTCTTAAGATTCAGCCATATAATACCCTAGACAAGTGGTTAACAACCCAGCTCTCAAGGCACAGTAATGGCTCTGGTTTTGTAAGTATCTCAATAGGAACAGAATTTGGATATGTCTAAATCCAGGGATGTTTCCGTACCTTGAAGACTAGCTTATTTGTTGTACTATCAGGCATAGCTGTTCCTGAAAAGTTAAATTCATGTCTGTGAAACATGTCAATACATATAACAACTTACTATCTTTGAGTTACTCATAGCAGATTCCTTCTGATGAAGATGCTGTTACAGAATTGTTCTTACATATTTTCCTCCTTATTACCAGTCACTGTGGTAAAATAGAACATATATCATATACATAGAAATAAAGTGGAAATGTGTAACTATTCATAGATGAGCATGTTGATTGGTTGCTTGGTTACATGTTTATAAACTATGGATACATATAGTAATGAATGCTTTCAAATGATTGTTAGTGCATTCCTACTAGTTCATGCTACTTTGGTTTTACCTTGATTTGTTAATTGCATGTTCTATCCTCTGGTAGCTTTCGACTCAGCTTAGCTTATTGATAAGTGGTCTTTAACAAAGTGCTTGTAAATTAAACTAGCATGTACCCTCCTTCCTCCCTCAAGCCTGAATGCCAACAGTGTGTAAATTGTATGGGTAAATAAAGGAATTAAATAAAGGAATTATTCTCAATCTCAGGGTTAATGCTGTTTTCGGTGCATCAACATTGTGGGGTATTACAGCTTATAACTTACATTGCTTTCAGAGGAGGAGAGTTCTGTCACAAACTTACTTGTGCACAGTGCCCGCGGCGCTCCTCTCCGAATGCTCGATGTGGCCGCACAGCCTGAATAGTATACTTACCTTAGGTCCCGCGAACGGCTCCCTCTGCTGGTTCGCAGGCCAAACATCTGGTATCCTGACCTTGGCTTCGTATTTTGATTTGTGATTTTCTGGTATCCTGACCCAGCTTTGGTATCCTGTCATAGAGTATATAATCTATATATTTCTGTATTCCTGACCTTGACTTACCCTGACCTTGTTTCTTGCTATATTTAATATGTTAAATCCGGCCACTCTGAGACTTAGTAATATGTCTTTCGGATCCACCTTTTCTAAGGCTTGGTAATATCACTCCTTTTCTGTCTTTTCTTTACTCTGGCACTGATCAAAACTATGTATCACTTTAAGAGAGACCTGAGGATGAGGACAGGTTCTAAGGAAGTCCATGGAGGCAGAGGGGATTTATTAGGAAAGGACAGAGAAGAATAAAAAAATGTCAAGGAGCAGCATAAAAGTGTAACAGCACAGCCAAATGTTAGAAGGACCGGGGAGAAAATCAAGAACAGGAAGGGCAAGGAGTGGAGAAGGGGATGCAGGGGTGACACACATGGTAGAACTACGTTGATTCTTAGAAGCAAAGGCATCAAAACAACCAAACATTGATTCAGGGGTACTCTTGGATTTTATAGGCATAGTCATGCCCATGGTATATGTGTGGGGCAACCATGTTGTCCAACAATTTTGTGTGACGTTCCCGCATCACATGTGTCTATATGAGGGTTGAACCTGACAAATATAATTATCAGATTGTTATAATGAAGATTTCTGGTTATATGACAGTCAGGATCTTTACGTTGCTTCTGTTTTAGTAAACATATCATTAATTGTATTGTGTCAAATTTCTATTGTTTATTTGTTTTTGGTTATTTTATAGTAGATTTCTGCAAGCTGATGACATACATTTCATATATTTATTTTCCTATAAAAATTGTAGAATTTAGGAAACTTTAAAGAATGATTGTTTGTTTCCAGTTTTTTCACCCTAGACTGTAGACTTGGATATTTGTTTCAGGCCAAACTGTACTTCGGTCAGACAATTGGGTGATAATCCAAAATTCCGATTTCTAAGACATCACATACCAGAATCTTAGGTGAACCAACTTACACAAGCCTGGACATGTTTTTTTTTTTTATTTCAGAGAGCCGTTCCTGGCACCAAAAAGAAAAGAGGGATAGAACGCAGAACATGTTTTTTAGTTTGTTTTTATTTAGTTTCCCAAAAGAGACATGAGGTTTGCCCAATCATGTGGGCTTCATCTCCTGTCCAATCAAGAGGTAGCAAAAATAAAGATGATTGATGGCTAGGCCCATTCACTAAATGATGATTTTATTCTCAGATCAACTGACAGCTGATCAATAGAGAGAAAAAAGAAGGAGTAGTAAGAAAATCTATACCTCTAAGCAGAATTTCTTCAAAACACGTTGACTGCAGCTATTAACGAAGGCAGGCTGGCACTAATAGAGTGTATTTTTCCTTTGCTGTATCTGTGTGGGAGCTACGGCCAGGGGTACTTGACACAACTTTTCATGGGAAATAGGATATTGACATTTTGTCATTGAGATCCTAGTGTGAGACTAGGTTGTCAATATACAGTTGTTAATTTTATTTATTTATTTATTATTAGTTATTTAGAGAAAGAAAATCCTTCTTTTGGGTAGCATTTTGTGTTCAGTAATAAGACAAAAAAATTATCTTGCCTAACCTCGGTCATTGACTTAGGCTTAGCTTGCAGCTGTATCTAGATAGTTAAGTGGTACTGCCAGGGGCACTTGAAACGAAGTTGAGTGGTATATAGATGATTGTCATCCACTGCCCATGAATGAGTACCCCCAGTCCTCATTCATGGGCAGTGGATGGAGACGCTAAATAAATATTCAATAGGAAAGGTGGGCATTCCAGTGTCCACCCCCAAATAATAGTATGTCCATCCAGCCCCTCCCCCCAGATGGTTAGGTGTCACTAAAACCCTAGCCATCCATCCTAAAAGAAAAAAAGTTCCTGCCCTCACACCTTCACCCTAATAATAATGAGCGGGTGCAGTAAATCTACAAATCTACAAATAAATCTAAAATCTATATATATACGCTCACCATCAGAAGTCTTCTTCTTCTAATTCTTCTGCTCCCAACTAATGATAATAAAAAAGTACTTTTTTTATTATCATTAGCTATAGAGGGATGGGTCTTCTGGATTTACTCATTAGGTTTTATCACTGTGCAAAAGCAAAATTGCTCATTTTCATATGCTCAATATTCATTTTACATTTCCCTGTTTCTAAGCCTTGTTCGGACAATTGTTTACTTATGATTTTGGCTTATTTGCTTAAAAATAATATGACTCTATTATCTCTGCATATAAAATATCTCAGTTTTATCTGTAATTATTTTCATTTGTAGGAATCCATAAAATATATCTAAATATATAGTTGAAATTTATAAAGCAGAAACATTTGTGTTGGCAGGCTGTCATTTTAATTACAAATAATAGGAAATATGTGTGTTAGAAATGTATCAGCCAAGAATAAAATCAATCTGTGTTTAATGCTAAGATATTTTGAAAAATATTTATTGGCAAAAGTGCTGGAGTTTGGATGTCTGCTCATGAAAATTGTATAAAGTAATGAATAAGTAAGCATTACATCCATGCTTTAAATCCAACATTTTTGGATTTATTTTTTTATCATTGACAAAGCTATAACATAGATCCGCTCCATAGACGGGAGCTAGAGACACCCACGTCCCCCGACTTGACCGTATTAGGTTTATATAATGTAGGAAAGGAAATAAAACAAAACAAAAAACCCCACAATGACAGATGTACCTCCTTCAAGGAATAGTCAAGGAGAGTCTAAGCCCTAGACCACCTAGTGTGGGATCCCCAATCTTTATTTCCCCCTTGTTCTCTCCCCTCATAACAGCCTAGTAGAATACAATTGTACAATCCACGTCGAAGAAAGAGATAACACGTGGACAGAAACCATCCTTTGCCAGGCTAGCCAACTCGTGCAGGGCACTGACAACGCACCATGCAACCTAACACCCATTACAGAAGAAAGACTGCCCTCGTATACACAGTGGAAGCACATATTCTCACCTCTAGTCATTAGACTATCCAACCAATCGTTAAACCGCACAACTCTGTCTCCATAAAGGGTCCAGGCAGACAG